TCTCATGTTCTGAATTGAGTTTAACAGTTTACTTCAAAAAAGGAACATTTTCTTGCCCAAGACACTGACAGAAGCTGAAAGCAGAAGAGATTTCAGCAAAACACTGCTGTCTGTATGTAAGGTGTCTGTGTCTGTAAAGTCAGCAATAGAGCTGCTCACTTCTACAGCCATATACTTAGGCCTGTATAGTAAGTGATACTGTAAACATTTTCAATTCAATTCAAGTTTATTTGTATAGCGCCTTCACGATGCAAATCATTGCAAAGCAGCTTTACAGAAAATTAAAGTTTCTACATTATATTTAGTAATAGCTTATAAGTGGTGACTATCTCAATTTGATGTCCATATGGCAGAAATGTACGGTAAAAATCAAGCAGTTATTTAATGTCATGAAATCAAACAGACAGTGACCACTATTAACAGCAATGATTATATTTTGCGATCAAACTTGTAGCAAAATTTGGTTGTTTTGTATGTTGTCTGAGGGGTTGGCATCATCTGAGGTCTACTGAGGGGTTGGCATCATCTCTTCTCAGGTGTTCGGTCATCTCAGGTCTTTGTAAGGGTTGGATCCAGACTGAAGCTTGTGTAATTCCTAGTTGGCATCCCGTGGCAGAAACAGAGAAGGAAATAGAGAAAAATGAGCACAGCTGCTGTTCCAACTAAGCAAAAAATGATTTGTTTAACCCAAGCAAAAGAATGTTAATGTGCATTTGATCAGATATAACTGCAGTACAAGATTATGAGATACATTATGTGAATGCTTGGCCAAAGAGATGTGTCTTTAATCTAGATTTAAACAGAGAGAGTGTGTCTGAACCCCGAACGTTATCAGGAAGGCTATTCCAGAGTTTGGGAGCCAAATGTGAAAAAGCTCTACCTCCTTTAGTGGACTTTGCTATCCTAGGAACTACCAAAAGTCCAGAGTTTTGCAACCTTATGGAGCATGATGGATTGTAGCATGGTAGAAGTCTAGTTAGATACGCAGGAACTAAACTATTTAGGGCCTTAAAAGTAAGTAGTAATATTTTGTAACTGATACGGAACTTAATAGGTAGCCAGTGCAGAGACTGTAAAATTGGGGTAATATGATCATATTTTCTTGACCTGGTAAGGACTCTAGCTGAACTAGCTTTTCTGCATCAGAAACAGGTAACATGTTCCGTGACTTGGCAATGTTTCTAAGATGGAAGAATGCTGTTTTTGTAAGATGGGAAATATGATTTTCAAAAGACAAGTTGCTGTCTAATATAACACCCAGATTTTTGACTGTAGAGGAAGTAACAGTACATCCGTCTAGATGCAAACTGTAATCTACAAGATTCTGTATACTGTTTTTTGGTCCAATAAGTAATATCTCTGTCTTCTTATCTGAATTTAATAGGAGAAAATTATTGGTAATCAAGTCTTTTACATTTTTAACACACTCCGTTAGCTTAGATCATTTAGAAGTTTCATCTGGTCTTGTTGAGATATATAGTTGAGTATCATCAGCATAACAGTGGAAACAAATCCTGTATTTTCTATTAATATTACCAAGGGGCAACATGTATATTGAAAATAACAGAGTGCGTAGGACAGATCCTTGTGGCACTCCATACTTTACTGGATTTAATTGAGATGATTCCCCATTTAAATAGACAAAGTGATAGCGATCGGACAGGTAGGATCTAAACCATCTTAAAGCCTGCCCTCGAATACCTGTATAGTTTTGTAATCGATCTATGAGTATGTCATGATCTATAGTGTCGAACGCAGCACTAAGATCATGTAAAAATAGCAATGAGATGCAGCCTTGGTCTGACGCAAGAAGCAAGTAATTTGTAATTTTAACAAATTTCACTAGGTTCACTAGGATCTAGTTGTGGTTTCTTAATAATTTACATTTACATTTAGTCATTTGGCAGATTCATCATAAAGGAAATAAATATTTTTATGGGAATATGTGCTGTTTTGTATATTAAGAGTCCGTCACAGAGTTGTAATCTGCAATATCTGTACTGAAACTGTCTGAATGTGTTTTCATGTTGTCAATTATCTGATAGTGAAGACGCTTCTGCCGCCTAGTGGAGCGGAAGGAAACTGCACATCAGTTCCTATGATTACAACAAGTAACAATCACCACCAGAGGGCACCAAACTGTTATTTTATGTGCTAAGATGTAGTAATAGTGATTTTAATAACATTTATTTTTGAATTCTATTTTTTTATTGTAATGGGAACTTTATTTGGGTACATTTATTTAAATGCCGATCGTCCATGATTTTGTAAACTTTACGTTTTGAATATCAAATTCTTTACTCATAAATGCCAAATGTACACAATTGTGTAAGCTTTATATTTCTGAATGGCAAATTGTTTATTCATAAATGTTGAACGTCCACAATTTTGCCAACTTTATATTCTGAGTGGCAAATCTTTTATTCATAATTGCTGAATGTCCAGAACTCCTCTTTTGTAAAAGGCTTTCTGTAATAAACTTGCTCTTTTAATGCCTGTTTTTAAATAATGTTGCTTGTAAAGTTAAATGAAGGCAATAAAAAAAAAAAATACAAGTTAATTTTTTTTTAAACATTTATTGTTCAGAGTAATATTTATAAAATAAACATTTAGAAAATAGATATATTGAAAATATATTGAAACTTGTCAGAAAAAAAGTGATATTTTACCAATATTTTTTTTTTCGTTTTAATTTCAAAAGATCAGATATTTATTTGTGAGATTGTAAAATGTTTACTTGTGAGATTTAAATGCATTATGCGCATTTCTTAACTATACAGGCACAATGTCATTCACAAACCTCAAAATCATATATATTTATCAACAATTTCTCTTTTTTCCCCCTCATTTGTTTTCTGTTAAAGACGCAGAGAGTTTTTCGAAGGAAGTCCGATGACTCATGACACAATCCGCAAGTCATTTAATCAAACATTTAAATAAGACGTTTTTCTTCCACACATATCAGACTGGAGTTCCTCATGCCTGCTTTTATATCAGTTTCAATTTTTATCTTGCTTTATCATTTATATGGACTTATTCAATTATTATTATTATTATTATTAGAGATTGTAGGCATTTTAATGAAGCTAAAGTACATGTCTTAAAACAAAATTGATAATTAAAAATGTAATGAAAAATAAAAGTAAATTGTAATAAAAACATATTTGAATAGGAAATAAAAGACATTGGTGTATAATAAAATACATATTACAAATAAACCATGCAGGACTGGATTACAGGTAATACTGTTGTAAATAATGTTCAGCTTCTTGTACCGATCGTTTCGCTTCATAAGAACTCAATGTATCGTCAGGAGCCACAGGTTTGAATTGTATGTTGCCTATATGTGCTTTTTCTTTTTACTTTCAGAGTGAATGTAGCTGCTGATTTGCATTTTATGAATCACCAGGAACCACGGTTTCAGATAAAAAATCTTTACTGTTCTACTGAAGAAAAAAGTCACCTAATGGCCTGAGGGTGAGTACATTAACAGCAAATTTGCATTTTTGGGCGAACTATCCTGTTAAAACGATGAGGAAAAAACACTTAAAATATCTTCTTTTATGTTCCACAGATGAAAGAAAGTTCTGTAGGTTTGTAATTGATATTTTTGGATGAAGTATCTCTTAAATCGGTGCTCAAAGATTCAAAGGTTTTGGTTCAGTCTTGTTTTTCAGCATCATCTGCGCTGACCAGCGCTTCCTTCGGTCTGTAGCGATGGCTCATGTTTTCATAAATCACGTCTTCTGATGCCGGTGAGGACGTGTCCGTGATCTTTGCTGTCATGTCTGGTTTTTTGGGCTCTGTCTCAGATGTTGAGGTGTTGTTCTCTGCGTCTGCGGCTCCTGCAGGACGCTGTCGGACCGCAGCGTATTCACTGGTCAGCGAGGCGATGCCCCTGATCTCTCCTGACGGCGGGTCAGCGTTTGTGAAGTCGATGGAGGAATAATGAAGAGATTCAGGTGCACTCGGTGCCGTGGATGACCGCATGCCTTTATTGGCGTAAACAAACTCACTGTCATTATCCAGAGAAACGGCCTGATGGAGAAGAAACGGCAAAATGAGTGAAGAAGATCTGCTGCACGACTGTCTGTAATGTCTTTGAGGATGAATAACTCACTGTCAGAATGAGTCCAGATCTGTCGTCTTGTCTGGATTCTGAAGGTTTTTCTTTCCTTCTTCTGAAAAACATGTTTTCAGATCTTTGAAAAATTGATGCTTACATAAAATCTCAATCAGACTCACAAATCCTCCTTGTGATGAAGCTAAAAGCAGGTAAAGTCTCAGAACAATGTGTGATCCAGGATTATTATCGTTAACTAAAACTAAAACCATTAAAAAAAAAGTTTTGTTAAGTCTATGTTTTATTTCAGCTAGTTTCTGAGGCAACAGTTTCACTTAGTTTAAACTGATGTACTAAAATAACTAAAATTGAAATAACAATGAACTATGTACTAATGAAAATGTACTAAATAGCAATAAAAAAGCAAAAAATACACAAATTTACTAAAACTTTAGATTTTATTTTTATACTTTTTCACTTGTTTTAGTAATTTTGTGTGTTTTTGTAATCTTTATTAGTTTAAATGTATATAGTTTTTTTTTATTAATTTTAGTTTAATTAGTTATTGCAGTATTGTATTTCAGTTAACATTTATTTGCTTTATAAGTAATATTATTTATAAGTTTAAGTACCAAAAAGTTTTTTTTTAGTATAATGACCCTGTTTTATGCTTTATACTTTTGAAATAATTTACAATAATAGTTGAAAAATATATGTATATATATATATATATATGTAGTTTAGCTTTATGAGGGTGAGTACATTAACAGCAAATTTGCATTTTTGGGCGAACTATCCTGTTAAAACGATGAGGAAAAAACACTTAAAATATCTTCTTTTATGTTCCACAGATGAAAGAAAGTTCTGTAGGTTTGTAATTGATATTTTTGGATGAAGTATCTCTTAAATCGGTGCTCAAAGATTCAAAGGTTTTGGTTCAGTCTTGTTTTTCAGCATCATCTGCGCTGACCAGCGCTTCCTTCGGTCTGTAGCGATGGCTCATGTTTTCATAAATCACGTCTTCTGATGCCGGTGAGGACGTGTCCGTGATCTTTGCTGTCATGTCTGGTTTTTTGGGCTCTGGCTCAGATGTTGAGGTGTTGTTCTCTGCGTCTGCGGCTCCTGCAGGACGCTGTCGGACCGCAGCGTATTCACTGGTCAGCGAGGCGATGCCCCTGATCTCTCCTGACGGCGGGTCAGCGTTTGTGAAGTCGATGGAGGAATAATGAAGAGATTCAGGTGCACTCGGTGCCGTGGATGACCGCATGCCTTTATTGGCGTAAACAAACTCACTGTCATTATCCAGAGAAACGGCCTGATGGAGAAGAAACGGCAAAATGAGTGAAGAAGATCTGCTGCACGACTGTCTATAATGTCTTTGAGGATGAATAACTCACTGTCAGAATGAGTCCAGATCTGTCGTCTTGTCTGGATTCTGAAGGTTTTTCTTTCCTTCTTCTGAAAAACATGTTTTCAGATCTTTGAAAAATTGATGCTTACATAAAATCTCAATCAGACTCACAAATCCTCCTTGTGATGAAGCTAAAAGCAGGTAAAGTCTCAGAACAATGTGTGATCCAGGATTATTATCGTTAACTAAAACTAAAACCATAGAAAAATGTTAAGTAAAAAAAAAACTAGTTTCAGAGGCAAACTTTCTCATTTTCATTTTGTACTAAGATAACTAAAACTGAAATAAAAATTACTAAAAACTATATAGACATTTAAAAACGATGTGTGTGTGTGTGTGTGTGCGTGTGTGTATATATATATATGTATATGTATATATATGTTTTCTTATTCCTCAAAGGGCATTTGTTCCCACCGTTCATAGCAGAGCATCACGATGCACACGATCATCATCACTGACGCACCGACAGCAGCTCCGAGCAGCACCGACGGATGATGGAAACCTGGAAAACAGTGTTTTGTTGCTCAGAGGTTGGTCTTTCATAGTTCAGGAGATCTCACTGAAACTCATTTAACAATCTCAGATGTGAAATTTATATTATTAAGTTGGCTTGAAAAAAGCCAATTTACTTAAATCCAATTTAAACTTCTTCTTCTGAGACCAAATTTTCTCCTCCTAGACTTTTAAAGCTACAACCACCAAACTCGGGTCAGACCTTCAGACTGGTCTGACTGGTCTTAGAAAAATGTTAAGTAAAAAAAAAACTAGTTTCAGAGGCAAACTTTCTCATTTTCATTTTGTACTAAGATAACTAAAACTGAAATAAAAATTACTAAAAACTATATAGACATTTAAAAACGATGTGTGTGTGTGTGTGCGTGTGTGTATATATATATATGTATATGTATATATATGTTTTCTTATTCCTCAAAGGGCATTTGTTCCCACCGTTCATAGCAGAGCATCACGATGCACACGATCATCATCACTGACGCACCGACAGCAGCTCCGAGCAGCACCGACGGATGATGGAAACCTGGAAAACAGTGTTTTGTTGCTCAGAGGTTGGTCTTTCATAGTTCAGGAGATCTCACTGAAACTCATTTAACAATCTCAGATGTGAAATTTATATTATTAAGTTGGCTTGAAAAAAGCCAATTTACTTAAATCCAATTTAAACTTCTTCTTCTGAGACCAAATTTTCTCCTCCTAGACTTTTAAAGCTACAACCACCAAACTCGGGTCAGACCTTCAGACTGGTCTGACTCGGGTTGCTATATCTTTTCTAACTGGTCCGGCTTACGGTTTTCGTAAACCAGATTATCAAAACCACCTAAAATCCCATAGACTTTCATTGAGGGGATGAAAACTTTTATACAATAAGACTTATGGTGTATTTAAGCTGTCTATTCCTATAGCAAAGCTTAACAACTCCCTACTGAAAAAAAACAGCTAAAACCAGCCTATGCTGATTGACTGCTTTGGCTGGTCTCCCAAGCTGGTTTTAAAGTGGTTTTGGCCATTTTTTTAGCAGGCCAGGCTGGTCTTAGCTGTTTTTTTACTGAATCAACTTGTTTTAGCTAGATTAGCATATAAACATGATAACAACATGCTATTCATTTGCTAATCATGCTAACAACATTCTAGTAACATGCTAATCATGCTAAAAAGGCCAACACCATGTTAGTAACGGGCTAATCATGCTAGTAACATGCTAATCATGCTAGTAAATTGCTAATCATGTTAACATGCTAGTAAATTGCTAATCATGCTAGAAACATGTTAGAAAAACTTGTTAAACATGCTAGCATCATGCTAGTAACATGATAATCATGCTAGTATCATGTTAATCGTGCTAGAATCATGCTAGCAACATGCTAGTAACTTGCTAATGCTAACAACATTGTAGTAACTTGCTAATCATGCTAGAAACATAACAAAATGCTAGTAATTTGCTAATCATGCTAACAACATGCTAGTAACTTGCTAATCATGCTAGGAACATGTTAACAAAATGTTAGTAACTTGTTAATGCTAGAAACATGCTAGCAACTTGTTAAACATGTTAGAAGCAGGCTAGAAACATGCTAATCATGCTACAATCATGCTAGTAACATGTTAATCATGCTAGCAACATGCTAGTAAACTTGCTAATCATGTTAACAAAATGATAACACCATGGTACTAACTTGCTAATCATTCTAGAATAATGATAGTAACATGCTAATCATGCTAGCAACATGCTAGTAACTTACTGATCATGCTAGAAACATGCTAGTAACTTGATAATCACGCTAACAAAATGCTAACACCATGCTAGTAACATGTTAATCATGCTAGAATCATGTTAGCAACATGTTAGTAACTTGCTAATTATTATAACAACATGCTAGTAACATGCTAATCATGTTAGAAACATGCTAGTAACTTACTAATCGTGTTAAAAAAATGATAACATCATGCTAGTAACATGCTAGTAACTTTTTAATCATGCTAACAAAATGTTAACACCATGCTAGTAACATGCTAATCATGTTAGAAACAAGCTAGTAACTTACTAATCGCGTTAAAAAAATGATAACATCATGCTAGTAACATGCTAGTAACTTTTTAATCATGCTAACAAAATGTTAACACCATGCTAGTAACATGCTAATCATGTTAGAAACAAGCTAGTAACTTACTAATCGCGTTAAAAAAATGATAACATCATGCTAGTAACATGCTAGTAACTTTTTAATCATGCTAACAAAATGTTAACACCATGCTAGTAACATGCTAATCATGCTAAAAACATGTTAGCAACATGTTAGTCATGCTAGAAACAGCCTATCAACCACCCCAGGTCCCCTAGCACTATGGTTTATACCTATCTGTTTTTCTGATAGACTGTATTGCCTTGAAAACATTCAAACTTTAATCTTTAAAACTATTTTGACTTTCAAACTACCTAACCCTAACTACAAACAGCTTTTAAAACTTTTTAAAACTTTCTAGCTAGGCTTTTTCAAGCCAACTTAAAGTTTGTCTACAAACTTTTCCTCACTGATGGAGGTTTCTGTAGAGTTAGCGAGCACATGTCCGGACAGACGCCACTCTAGTGTAGGGCGGGGATTCCCATGAGCCTCACAGACACACGCCATTACACTGCTTCGGCTGCAAGAGCTGGAGATTTTGGGTGCAACTGAAAGAGAAAATATAATCGTTATGATACAGAAGATCTTGATGGTCTCTACAGTGTAAAACATGTTCAGAATTTGAATGATAAAACACTAAAAACATACGTTTCATATGTATATAAAAAATGTTAATTGGTTAACAGCAATTTCCTTTACTATATACAGTGAAAAAGGGTTGTGTTGATCGTAGAGACCATTGGTGGCAATGGCTGTACGATCTACTTAGGCTCATGATGGTTTTGGGAAACGCAGCCCAGGACATTTCATGTATTTAAATTTATTTGTATTACAGTACACATTTGTAATGATGAAGTTGCAATTAAGTACATTTAAAATAAATTAATTTTAAATGTAATATTGAATTAATGTTCATTTTGTATCACTGAGATACTATCATAGTTTTTATTTTTTATATTTTTCATTTTAGTTAAAGTTTTAGTAATTTTGTTGTGTTTGTCTTTTTTAGAAGTTTTAGTTTTTAATTATCTCTACATTGTAAAATGGTCTCTACAGTGTAAAAATTTTTCTTAATTTTAATGGTAAAACACTAAAAATGTCATGGTAAAACCATGTTAATTGTTTAAAAGCAAGTTCCCTTACTATATACAGTGAAAAATAATAAATCTAACAGCACATTTCATGTAATTTTTCAGTAAAATATTGTTAAATTTACAGTTTTTAGAGGTGAAAAAGAACATGTAATCTTTTTTAATTTTATTTGAATGTAATTTAATTTATAATTCTGTGTTTAATGATGGTTAGTACATCAGTAAGTTGGCATATTAACAGCAACCTTTTTTTCCTGTAAACATCACAGCTTGTTTCTTTTTTACAGTGTAGACAGAAACTGTAACTGCTTTAGGTTTTTTCTAACACTTAATAGAAACTGCTGAACATCTTATTTTGGACAAAAATGAATACGTTCATGACAAAAACAGAAAAAAACCCTACTGAAAGCTAATAGAGTGCAGAAGTAGAAAAGAGGAACAAAAACATTGGCCAAAACACTGTTTAATGTGAAGCACCAAATGCTGCCAGTTGCCACAGAAAATAGGCATGCAGCCTGTGCACAACTGACTGTATAGTCAATCACCATCAACCTGTTTACCATTGTCGCCATACTCTGTGATGCACACACCATGTAAGATATTACACCATATAGCATGCTGTAGTGTAGTTTATATGATAAAATTGTCTTCAACTTAAGCTATATATAAGGTTTAAGTCATTTAAACATACTTTTGTGTTTTTTGCAACATTTTTTAGTAGTCTTTTCAGTGCTGAAAGTCATATTTTGACTGTGTGAAAGAAATTATGCTTTTCTTGCATGCTTTTATGGTAAAATTGCATTTAATTTCACTATAAACAATGCACTTTGCATTCAAATGCAATGCGGTCTAGAGCATTATTATGTGTTTGCTGCAATTACTGCAGTTAATATTCACAGTATTTACGTTATCAAGGATCAGATTAAGTGATTGCAGTGCAGTAATCTGAGGTTTGTCTTTTTACTCACACTGAACATCCAGTTGAATTGTTGAATTGTGTTGTCCATGCTGGTTTTGAGCTTTACAGCCATACCGTGCGTTGTGTTTAGGGTTTGTCACAATGTCGGTGTGATTATATTAGAGATTACCAAGTACTTGCACTGGACAGCCAGCATATTACCAACTATTCACACTAGATGTCCAGAAGATCACCAAGTACTCACACTGGACTCTCAGTAGATTACCAAGTACTCACACTGGACGTCCACACGATTATTAAGTACTCACACTGGATGTTCAGCAGATTTACAAGTACTCTCATTGGATGCCACAGTATTTAGTATAATTTTTTCAAATTTTTTAAAATAATAGTAAAGACATCAACTATAAAATAACGCTAATGGAGGTGTTTAAAATATATATTAGCAATTAGTTAAGACTCGTAATACTCACACTGGACATCCAGCAGCACTGATGAGTTCTGTGTGCCGTGTTTGTTCTCAGCTGTACAGTAGTATCGTCCACTGTGTGTTGAGTCGGTGTTGTTGATGGTCAGCTTTGATCCGGTCTGAACTGGATTCAGAGGTCTTTCAGCGTCTCTGTACCAGGTGTAGTTCACCGCTGGGTTTGCATCACTGCTGCAGATCAGAGTCACTGGCTCGCCCTCCATCACTGAGCTGGAGGGAAACGCTGACAATGATGTGTTTTTTGGGGCATCTGAGGAAAAAAAAAGATGTAGAATGTGTGATTTAACAGTTCAGGATTTGAAAGGCTGCAGGTTTAAACCTCTCTATTTTACAAGTTTCAGATGCTGGCAACTTGTTGAAGCATTTGTTCAAACATCTACAGCAGGCCACAACACTAACAAAACACCATATGTCTGTATTTTTCCCTGTTACTTGTTCACTTCACACTAACTGTGTGTAGAAGTTTAAGTCTACTGTGCTAAAACAACACAAACACAGTAAGATATATGATGAGAATTTGTAGTATATGTTATTGTCTAAGTTTGTCATGCAATCGGACAGAGACTGTCTTTCATTTGTCTAGACTAAACAGTCTGAATTGAGACGCACTGGACCATCTGAACTGAATGTCCTGCAGATTACAGAGTACTTGCACTGGACATCCAGACGATTACCAAGTACTTGCACTGGACATCTGGTAGATTGCCAAGAACTTGCACTAGATGCCCAGAAGATTACAAGTACTCATGCCAGACACTCAAGTAGATTTTACACTAGAAGTCCAGAAGATTACCCAAGTACTCACACTGGACGCCCAGAAGTTAACCAAGTTAACCAGCTGGATGGCCAGCAAATTACCAAGTACTTGCACTGGACATCTGGTAGATTGCCAAGAACTTGCACTAGATGCCCAGAAGATTACAAGTACTCATGCTGGACACCCAGCAAATTACCAAGTATTCTCACTAGACGTCCAGCAGATTACCAAGTACTAGCACTGGACATCTAGAAGATTACCAAGTATTCGCACTTGTATGCTCAGAAGATTTCCTGGACGTTCAGCAGATTACTTGCACTGGACGTCCACAAGAGTAACAAGTACTCACACTGGACATCTCGAAGATTACCAAGTACTTCCACTGGATGTTCACAAGATTACTAAATACTCACAGTGGATGCTCAGCAGATTTACAAGTACTCTCACTAGATGTCACAGTATTTAGTATTATGACTATTTTTCAGATTTTTAAATAATAGTAAAGACATCAACTATAAAA